CTAATGTACTAATTATTCCATTTAATGTGTCTCCAATACTCTCAGCACATGAGAGTTCTTTCTAAGCTTTCTTTGATTTAATATGAAATATCTATATTTTAATTATAAAGGTTAATTCAGGTTATTAATTATGATCTCATCGTATTACTCTATTAGTAATGCTGCGCTCACATATATGACAGAGATGTAGTCTATGGTCAAAATAAGTTGTATTTCACTGATCCAGCCATATTTAATTTTATGTGTGTTTCTATTAGAGATATTGATATAGCGCTATATGCTGCATGTTTTGGGAATACTAAAACCACCAGAAATTAGCTCGAGTATGCATAGTTTCATTCGCAAACTAGCAAAACTAGTTAATATACCTCAGCAACATCTAATTTCCATAACATTTCTGTTAAAACTTATGAAGGCTGTGAACATGACCTTCCTTCACCAATCCAATTGTCATCTATTGTTATTCAAGACAATAACACTAGGACATTGTCCTCTGACACTACAAAAGATTGATATGTCCTTTTCAAATAATAAATGCATTTGATCTTTTCCGATGTCACATGAGGCTGGCAACGTCTGTTTCAATTGTAGTGATGTCATTGATTGGCCATACTATCAGTACATAATTGTACACATACACTACGTTTACCTGACAGCATTCTATCGGAGCCGAATTACTGCTGCCACTTAACAGCAGATTATCTCCAATGCATTTACACGGTCAGGTCGAATGAGAGCCAAGTCGAATGGAACAGCCCCTCAATTACTTAGTATGAAAACAGCATGCCAGAAAGCGATTATGGTGTCGTGCTTGTGTTGTTTCTTCACATGGCATGATGCCTGTCAGAGCAACAGAGAAGATCAATGCAGACAGTTTCGACATGATGCATTTACATGGTCGGATCCATGTTGGGGCCCAATCCTGTCAGAGCTCAACCCAGAGGGTTTATTGAAGTTGGCCATTTTGCTGGCTCGAGTCGTAGGGCTCCAATAAAATGCTGTCGTGCAAATGCAGCATATACGATATAATCACTATGCCCACAAACAAAATACTGTGAAGCCATTTATTTTCACTATTGTGATGCTTTGAGCAATTTCACAGAGTTTTAACTTGACAACAAAACAATGATTATTATTGTTATTTTACATGGATTTAATTTAGCGAATTTTACATTTTCCCGAAAATATGATATTATTATGACAGAGCACCTCTGTAATTTATGTATTACTAAGTGCATGTACTATTTATAGAGAAAATATTGTTTTTATTGATTTATTTTTAAACTGGCACATTAGATAATGCTAATAAAGAGTTGTTAGGGTCGTTTTATGTGAAATATTGGTGTGAATTGCATTGAATTGTGTGAATGTTAACTACTACATGTATTATTTCAATTTTTAGATATTTGAATGTTTAGAATTGTTTGGGATTCCCACTTGATTGTTTTTATTCAATTTTATTTGCGAATACTTTTAAAATTGTGTTTAAATGTGCATGGATTCACCCAAAATATTTCACTTTAATACACACACCAAGACCCCTAGAATATCAGTGGTGAATTTAGTAAAGACCAGGCCACCCTAACTCTGTCATTACTCATGCACATATGGTTAAAGTGCCTGCCAAGTAACTGCACATTCACTTCTAATTAGAACTTAAGAATGATCTCACAATGCTACTCCATGCGATGTACTGAACTAAAATTAAGGAAGCTAGCACTCTTTTTGGTCACAATATTT